CACCTACACACCGAGTTACTCCAAGCAACTGCCCACCCGAGCCACTCCAAGCACCTACTGACCGAGCCACTCAAGGCACCTACCGATTGAGCCACTTCAGACACCTTCTGACCAAGCAATTCCAATCGCATTCTTCTTTTCTTACTTCTATGTCTCTCTCTATCTGTGTCTCTCTATCTCTCTCCCTCCTCTCCCCCTCTCTCTCCATCTCTCTCTCTCTCTCTTTCTCTCTCCCTTTCTTTGTCTCTCTATGCGTGTTCTGTTTCTTGAATTCGTTAATAGTGTTGAAATTTAGCAGTTGGTTTGCGCCTGATTTTTTTTTTATTTTTTTTTTTTTTCTTTGCGGGCATTGCCGGCACCGCCTGCACCGTGGGCGCTTAGCTAGTTTTTATAAAAGGCAGCAAGACTCAGCGAAACGATAAATGAGGGAATAAATAAATGCTGAATCAAGAAAAGACAGCAAGCTGCAAGAGCAGCAAGACTCAGCAAAAAGATAAATAAGGGAATAAATAAATGCTGAATCAAGAAAAGAACCTGCATGGGGCAGAAAACCATGCCTGGCCTGGAAATGGCAGTGGGCCTCAACGTTGCACAGCAACAAAAATGGCGTGTGGCCCAGGCCCCCCCAACAACCGTCAGGCCCTTAAAAAAGGGCCTGTGTACAGGGGTCAGCATGTTACACCGGCTGACAAAATCTTCCTCGCTTTAAGACATTATTATTCAGAACACTATTACAAATTTGTAAATCCTTTAATCCGCATTTGGAGGGCGATTGAGACTGCAGCATTTGTGCAAGGAGTTCAGAGAGCCTCACCATCCTTCTGGCTTATGTTCCGTATCCCCTAAACCTGGCTGGTAGAGGTTACTCAGGTGTAAACCCTAAACCCTGTGCTCGAAAACCTGAACCCTGAACCCTGAACCCAAAAACGTAAGCTTGGAACTTGTCATCCTAAGTTCTGAAGCTTAGACCGTGACCGTAAACCCCAAGGAAGCTGAGTCTTTGCTTCATGTTCATTGTATAACAATCATTGTTGTGTGAGAAAGCTTTTTTTTTTTTTTTTTTTTTGATTTGAATGGACTGGTATTTGCTGAAAAAAGTCCCAGCATCCCTTACAGGGTAACCGGTGTTCGGGACTGGCCGAGCACCCGAACCCGAAGGCCCGAACCGGAATGCCCGAACGTACAGGGCCCCTTGGGGATGCGTTCGGCCGTTCGGGCCAAACGCGGACCGGAAAAAAAAAAAAAAAAAAAAAGTCTGAAAACAATTCAAAAAAAAAACAATATGTTATGAAGAAAAATAAAATAAACAACATTTGCCTGAGCATTACATCCAAATTCCTTACCGAATTTGGAATAAAAATAAAATACGGAAAATAAAACTAATAATAAAATTAAATAAATTTAATAAAAATAAGAAAAAGCTAGGTTGTTTTATCGGACGTCCGGATCGTCCGACCGGACCACCGGACCGGTGGTCCGGTGTCCGACGGAGGTCCCCCCCCTGTGGAAAATAGGGGCCGGGCCTCTAAGGGCCTGCTGGGGGTGGGGGATGGTAGTTGTCTAGGTGGGGGGTCCTGCTGGAGGGGGAAGGTCGGGATAGGGTGGGGGGAAGTCGGGATAGC